AGTTTTATATTACAAGTACCCCATGCCATGCTAGTTAGGATAAAAACCTTGGAAAAATCAAATTTGCATGAATATTAGAGAAAACATAGATCCAAGTTTTCTAGGGTTGCAGATACACCATAGGAGTGTTAGAATGCTCAAACCCCATCAAACATCACATGTTAAAGGTTCAAGATATCTTATAATGGAGACTGACTCATAACCAACATATATTCCCAACCTTCTTTGAGGACCCATTTTTATCCTTTGTGGTGGTGCAATGGGGACATATACTGCACACCCAAAAATTCTCAAATGTGATATATTTGGCTCTTGACCAAAAGCAAGTTGTAGGGCAGAGTATACATGATATGAACTTGGTCTCATGCGTATCAATGATCTAGCATGTAAGATTACATGGCCCCAAACGTAAACATGAAGTTTGGTTCTCATTATCAATGGTCTAGCTATTAGCTGGAGAAGTTTAATCAGTGATTCGGCTAAACCATTTTATGTGTGTACATGAGCAACTGGATGCTCAATGACAATTCCTACAGACATACAATAGTCATTAAATGCTTGTGAAGTAAATTCATCATCATTATCAAGTCTCACTCATTTGATAGTATAATTAGGGAAATGTGCCCTTAATTTAATAATTTGGGAAAGAAACTTTGCAAATGCCACATTACGAGTTGATAATAAGCAAACATGAGACCATTTGTTGCATGCATCTATTAGGACCATAAAGCATTTAAATGGTCTAGCTGGTAGATGAATTGGTCCATATATCACCTTGAATTCTTTCTAGAAATATAGATGACTCCATTTCAACTTTCATTGGAGAATGTTTTATAATTAACTTTCCTAGGGAACACGATGTACATGGTCTTTTTCTACTGGACTGAGGGAACTTCTGGTCCTTTAATAGGTGCCCATGCGTATTCTCAATTATCCTTCGCAACATTGTTAATCCTGGGTAGCCTAATCTATCATGCCATAAACTGAATGTCATAGGATCACAATGTTTTTCTTTGACTACCATATTTGATTCAATCATATGTATATATGTATAATGCAAACCGGAATCAAGTGTTGGTAGTTTTTCAAGCACATGGTTTTTGTCTATAATATACATATATTTCTTATTTTCAATGGTCATAGTTTTTGTGTCATATCCTTTGAAATATATTTCATTGAAATTCAGTAAGTTTCTATTAGACTTTGGAGAAAATAATTCATTTTCTATAATAAAAACTTTGTACCATTTGGTAATATAAATTGGGTGTTTCCAGTCCCCTCTATCAAGTCTGCAGGACCTGATATTGTATGTATGACTACTTTTGTTGGCACTAATTTTGAAAAATATTTCTTTGATTTCAAAATAGTATGTGTACTACCAGTATCTGCTATGCAAAGATCTCCAACCTTTTCTTGGTGTTGTGCTCCTCATATTAAACTTCACATATGAAAGAATAATAAGCCAATAAACAAAAGCACAATAATTATTATAAAGAAACTTCATTTATTGTAGGAAAGACATTACATGAAAAACAAAGGAAGGAAAAACAGGTTTACAAGAACAATAACATAAATTTTTAGTTTGTGTCTTCCATGTCATTGCAGAAATCAGCAACAATTAGCGGAGTGTGTTCAACATTATCAATGATGTTTGCTTTTTTTTTTCCTTTTCCATTAATGGACTCTCGATAAAGTTTACAAAGATGTGCAGGTGTATGACAGGTCCTTGACATATGGCCTGTGCTACTACATCTATAACATGAACCATCAGATTTTTGTGATATCTCAACATCATGCCTTGCTACTTTGGCCTTTTCTTATGTATGGATATTGTTTCTTTGTAAATATTGATAATTATTTCTTTTCTGGACACGACAACAATTATTACCTTGTCCGCGACCAAAATTATGGTTCTGATTATGGCTTTGGTATCGAGTAAAATAGCCACGGCCTCGTCCTCGACCATGACCACGTCCTCGTCTACGTGTATTGTTTCAATAACCATCAGTATTTGTAGCATTTGCTTCAGGATGTGCTACTGATCCCGTTAGACGAGATTCATGGTTTTTCATCAAGAGCTCATTGTTTTACTCTGAAACAAGTAGTCATGCATTCAATTCAAAATATTTTGTGAACTTTTGCAATCGATGTTGTTGCATCAAGGTAATGTTTGTTGCATGAAATGTGGAGTACGTTTTCTCCAACATATCTTCATCAGTAACTTTTGTCCACAATACTTGAGTTATGAACATATTCCGAACAAAACTGAGTTGTATTCATTTACTTTCTTGAACTCTTGAAACCTTAGTGTTCTCTACTCATCTCTAGCATTTGGAAGTATAACTTCCTTTTGATGATCAGATCTTTCTTTCTAGAGATTCCAGAGAACACTTGGATCAATAATATAAAGATATTCAAATATCAACATTTCATCAATATGCTTACGAAGGAAAACTTGTGTTTTCGCCTTGTCTTGTGTCAAGTAATTATTAAATTCATGTATAGCATTTGAGATTCCCATGGATTCAAGATGCATTTTTACATCTATCATCCATAGCATATAGTTTTTCCCACTAACTTCAAGTGCTGCAAACTCGACCTTTGCAATGTTAGACATTTTGTAACTATAAATTTAAACAAAATAACAAAATGAAAATTAAAATCCATTTATTTCAATATGTATTGCACAATAGAAGCGGGAGAAGAATCATCACATACAAGACTAAGAAATGATAAAATAAATCAGGATAAAATACATTCGGCGTGAGATTGAAAAATAGGAAGCTAAGTGCTATAGTCATTATAGTTGCGAGAATTACAACCGGATGAATCATTTTGATCTTGATAACCTTGAAAAGTGAGATAATTTACTCATTTTTTTGTAGAAAGAAATATGATAGTGATGTTATTTATAGTAAAAAAACAGTCGTTATTTTTGTTATTTATAACTGTTGCATATATATTGTTGTTGTTGTTGTTGTTGTTGTGTGTGTGTGTGTGTGTGTGTGTGTGTGTATATATATATATATATATATATGTGTGTGTGTGTGTGTGTGTATGTATATCTATTTTATAAATCATTCAATAAGACCTTTAATTCGTACACGATTTTACTTGGTATAATTTTATTAATTAGAAACATAAATAAATATTAGTAAATGTTTACATAAAATCGTAAAGAATATCTAAAATATAAATAAATAAACATTGTCATGTATAAATAAATGTTAGTATATATAAATAAAAATTAGTTGCATAATTTAAATATTAATATGTATAAATAAAAGCTAATTGCATAAAGTAAATGTTAGTATAAGAAATAAAAATAGTAGTCCATAATGAATAAATTTTATTAATTTATTAGTATTTTTGTTTTTAATATGATGGAGGTTTTCATACTTAATAATGTTTTTTTTACTAAGTAATACATACCTTGATTAAGATAGATGTGATTTTCACTTGTTTAATAACCTTGATTAGAACTTTCATACTTATAACCTAATGTAAATTTGATGTAATTAAGACTAAAACTAACAAAGTTATACTAAAACATTATAAAGTAAAGAATGAGATTTGAGAGGATTCTTAAACACTTAAAAGATTGCATTCAAGATGGGATGTTTATTTCTTTCACGTTTGATGAGTATTTATACTACATATTATCATATTTTTACATCATCAAAATAATAATTAAATAGTTAATAAAAACTATTTGAATGGTAAAAAATATTTATCAACATATTATGTCTAACTTAATGATTTATAACTCAATGATTTTAGGTTTTTATAACAATTTTCAAATACTATGTTCATATGGGGTTTTTACTTTTTTTTTTTTTTAAAGAAAATATGGTTATTTAAAAATAATAGTGTTTGCGAAATATGGTCATCGGGGTTAATATACATAGATTTAAACATTACTTTCCTTATAGCTTAAGAAATATATATTTTAAAATAGAAATAATATAATTTGATTTATATAAAAGATATAACAAAATAGTACAAAAATCAAATTTGTGGGGCAGAAATATATTTTGAAAGAAGAAAATGATATTTAACGCTAACACATTACTTTCCCTAGAATCTATGCCTATTCCCAAATTAATATGGAGTGGACCTGAGATGCAAACGTAGAACGTGAACCATTTCTTCCTTACACGATTTTTCCCTTTTCGTACTTTCTTTATATGCACCATTCGTTTTTATAAGATCTTTATCACGTTTTTTAGCGTCCATGTTATTCTTATCCCAACATTAAATGATTAAATACACCCCGTCCCACATATATAACTACATACCAATTATATCAATTTTTGGATAATATATAATATTGCTTCATTTGTTCTAAGACAACCAGGCAAGAGTATCAATACCGAACACCACCGTGAGGTGAGTTGTCACAACAATGACGTAGTAAACACCACACCGCCTGGTGTGCGGTGGTACGGGAACCCTTCTTGCACAATACTACACCGTTTCGCTATCTCTGCTTCTCTATTTTATCTTTCTGCACAACACTATACTGTTTCGCCACCTATGCTTCTCTATTTTATCTCTTTTTACATGCTTCTTGCTCTTTAGATTACTCATTGGTGTATATTTCGCATATTTTCAGAGGAGTGATATGTGACAATTTCCCAAAAAAAAAAACCACAATAACATGTTTTGCGAAAAAAAAATGAAAAATGATAGAGCATACACCATCAACCTAAACAATTATTTATATAAATATATCATCTATCATCCATTGTAAAATAAGAAAATCAATAAAACATGATAAAAATGGTTAAGGATCATCAAAGCAATTAAGATCATTTTATAATGTTTACAAGAACTTATAAATAATTTATAATTTTAAAGATTTAATGATTTGTAATAATATCGGATAGTTTAAATAAAAACCAGTGCAGCTGTCACATGTATATAAAAGAGTTGTGTCGAGTGTTTTTTTCTATCAAATCCAAAATCTCCCAACGTTTTGTTCTTTCAAGAAAAAGGAGATGTCAGATATGGGTAACTCCTCCACAGCGAGGTCGTCGTTCGATGAACAATCCATTCACGGCGATGTACTGGAGGCAATCCTCTCCCAAGTCCCACTAGTACACTTACTTCCGGCGTCTGGTGTGTCAAAGTCGTGGAGCGCCGCCGTATCATCGGCCCTTCGCACATCCACCAACACCAAACCATGGCTAATCATCCACACACAGAGCTCTAGGCACCCGTTCTCCACAACCAGTCACGCCTACGATCCGGAGTCAAACATGTGGATCGAGATCCGACAACCGGCGATCGGTTATGTATCTACACTTCGATCATCTCACTCGAATCTTCTCTACATGTTGTCGCCGTCGAAGCTCTCGTTGTCTTTTGATCCGCTTCACCTGACTTGGCACCACGCGGTGGCGCCGAAAGTCTCGCGGATAGATCCTGTTGTAGCCGTTGTAGGCAGCCACGTTGTGATTGCAGGCGGTGCCTACGATTTTGAGGACGATCCTCTCGCCGTTGAGGTTTATGATCTCGAGTCACAGCAATGGACTAAATCGGATCCAATGCCCGAGTTTTTCAACGGATCCGCCGCTTCATTGTGGCTCTCGGTTGCTTCCGTTGACCCTCATCTCTTCGTCATGGAGAAAACTTCCGGTGTAACGTACTCGTTCAATCCCAATAACAATACGTGGTCTGGACCGTATGATTTACGTCCCGATCACCGCATTTTTTACTCGGTTATCGGATTCTCCAACGACCGATTGATTGTCATCGGGATGTTGGGTGATGCTGAGGATGTTGACGGGCTGAAGTTCTGGGAAGTGAACTGCGAGTCATTCGAAATCAATGAAATTGGGGAGATGCCGGCGAATCTCCTCGAGAATTTGAAGAGCCACGATTCGCAAATTTCCTCCATCGACGTCTCTATGGTGGGAAACGCGGCGTATGTATACATCTCCTCGCGAGCTGAAGAGGTATTCATGTGTGAGTTCATCGACGGCGGGGGATGTAGCTGGCGTAGCGTGGCGAATACGTCTGCGAATGGCCGGAGTATAATGGATAAATTAGTTTTTACGTGCTCGAAGATAGGGATTGAGGAGCTGCAACGAGCAACGAGGTCAGGGAATCGGAAGTTCGTCGTGAAACGGTGAGTCGTTGTTCAGTTGACTCGGTGTAAATTCGTGTTTAATCTAAATTTACTTTTGTATTATTGTATATTTATAGTGTCATAATTCATAAGTATATTCTTTTTTAAAACTTGTTTTACAGTTATTCTATATATATATATATATATATATATATATATATATATATATATATATATATATATATATATTCATACAATTTTTTTAGGGATTGAAACTTATAGAATCAACCAATTTAAGTTTGAAAACGCTGATAATCCAAAAATTGTATGAAAATAAAAATTAAAAAGAAAACTGTAAAAAAAAACGTTGTATAAAAGTTATAAGACTTAAAAATAGTATAAAAGATTGTATTTTTTTCTAAAAGAAAATAGAAAAAATTGGTCGTAAAATTCATTATGCGATGTTAAAGCCTTAAAATTCTTTAAGCAATATTAAATTGCTTAAAGTCAAAAGAAGTGGTAGCACTCTTGTAATATTATCTTGTAGGATTTTTTGTAATATTGGCTTGTAGGATTTTTTTAGTTTTTTTATTGGGGAAAATGACGACAATGCCCTATGAGCTTTCTAGGGTTTGTCTATTTAGTCCCTAAATTGTTTTTGGTGCTTTATGGGGCAACAAATTTGTTTTTGTCATGTCTGTTAGATCACTTTGCACAAAATGAAGGGGTAAACCGGTTACCCCTTGCCACATAGACATGTTGACTCATTTGACCCTGTCGTCGCCTGATTGTAGAAGAACTCTTATAAACCTACCAATCATGAACACATCCGCACCTCCGGTCAAAAAATATTGAGATAATAACCAGGAAAATTTCATTGGAACGGTTTCTAGTGTTATCTAATAATCTATATTCCTCTATGGTTTTCAAACGTTTGACCCGACAACTGCTAAAACGAAGATTTCGGTTCCGATTCTTTGAAGCATTGTGATGCCAGAGGGTTTTCTAGTGTTGGATCTGGCAATAGGGACTAAGATACGATCTTAGATTGGGATAAAGATGACGTCGGTGATGTTGATGAAGATTTCGGTGGTGATGGTTGTGCAGTGGGGAGGATTTAAAGTCGTCGTTGCTTGGGGAATTGTTGGAGGTCGAACAGAGGTTTAAGGAATAGGCATTGTTTGATGGTGAAGAACTGATGAATACGGATGAGAATTTTGCTAATGGTAGTGTTTTACTACAACCACAACCATTGTCCTCTGATGTTGATGAAGGGTTGACCTCTGTTTGTTCTCTTTGTCGGTTTCAGTTTCTCTCGCCAGAATCTGTAGCGACGTTGCTAGATTAGTGAAAAGTCAGATGCCATTTTCATCCCCAATGTATGTATTTAGGACGCCATTGTAGCATATGAATCAATCAATAAAATGATTGATTGCTAATTAGAGCTCCTTCACTATCACAGATAAGTAGCCATTTCTAAGAAATAGGAATTTTCTATAAACATAACATACCTAATTTGTTGAATTTGGTTATGGTGATGAAATCATGTGTTTCATGGGTTTTAATTCTGATTAACAATACACACTCATGTTTCAAAGCTAAGATTTTGTGGGTATTGCTTTAACTGAAATGTATGTTTGTAGTTATCGTTTTCCCCTTTGTTGTTGCAATTATCGTTTTTCGGTGATGGTGTATTAACGGTGAGATTGGAGGAAGAAGATGACTTCAATCCAAGAGACTCAAAAAATTATCAAAATACAAACGATTATGATGGAATCATTAAATCCAAGGGAATTCGTGAAGGTTTTAAGAACATAGTGGAGAAAAGCAAAAGTTGGGTGGAGAAGAATCATAAGTAGGGTGGGTTTATTTTATTTTTCTTTAATTTTTTTTATTAAAAAAATCACATTATAATGTGATTAGGTTGGTCAACAAACAAAAATGGTTACGTGACATACATAAACCGGTTGTATTAGGATAGGTGACCAAATGAACAGGTCAAATTTTATTTTGTTCCCCAGTAAAACACTAAAAAAAATTTAAAGACCAAATAGACCAACCCTAGAAAGTTAATAGGGTATTATTGTCATTTTCCCTTTTTTTATTCTTTAAATTCACGTAAACTTAATATGTCTAGCATAAAAAATATAGAGAATGGTAGTGTATTAATTTAATAATTATGATTTTAATCAGAAAAAAAAAATAATCAAAAACCAATCAGAATCCACCAATACACCTTCTCTCTTCTCTGCTTGCAAGCCCCTTGCCCAAGACAAATGATGGTGTTCGGCAACGTTCTAGGTGAACGTTGGCAAATGGCGAATGGGTTGGTGATGTCACTTCCTGAACCGTAAGTGGTTTAATAGTGATTTTACTATACAGACTAGGTTGTCTACTTAGACCGGAAGATGTGATTTTACATGGGTCATAATATTTTTTTCTTATTTTCCTTTCTTTCATCTAAACCCATGAAATGAGTGAGAACTTCCTTACTATTTTTTTATATTTAAAATATATATATATATATATATATATATATATATATATATATATATATATATATATATATATATTTCCTACAAATATTATATTTATATTGTAAGGAATTAAAAACAATGAGTTTTGATATATATTTTTTTTTATAACTTTTAGTAGGTATATAATTTAATAAGTATTAAAAATGTTAAAAGAAAAAGTTTGCCAATGGGCTCCCTCACCGTCTTTCCCCAGTCAAGAAGCAATATGGAGCGATATGTTCAGGCGACAGGAAAAGCTTCCCTCACCCACACCGTCTGACCTTATTTTTAAAACAAATGACTACAGACTACATAGATTAGGTGGGGTTTATATTTTAAACAAAATTGATTTATAGTTTCTTTGTAAAAAAAATGTTTAGATCATATTTATACCAAAAATTAATATTTAAGATCAATTTTTAACAAACTTTCAAATATCGATCAAAATTCAAAAGTATAAAATTGAAAATAATAATAATACTACTACTACTACTAATAATAATAATAATAATAATAATAATAATAATAATAATAATAATAAATAACATGGTATATTTAAATGAATCTCTGATGTTTAAGAGTAAATTATATGATTGGTTCCTAAGGTTTTGGATAATTTGCACGTTTATATTTGAAACAAATGACTACAAACTATATAGATTCGGTGGGTACTATATTTTAAACAAAATTGATTTATTGCTTCTTTTAAAAAAATCTTTAGATCATATTTATACCAAAATTTAATATTTAAGATCAATTTTTAACAAACTTTAAAATATCCATCAAAATTCAAAAGTATAAAATTGAAAATAATAATAATAATAATAATAATAACTAGAAAGATTACCCCCGCTACGTGGGGGCCAGAAGCTTTCAATGTTGTTTCCGAATCGATAAATATGACAGACGTAGAAAGTGCAAGGATGACAAGCCCGAGCTTTGCCCCGGACCGTTTTGTTCATGTTTTTATGAAAAAATGTAAAAGTTTTGACTGCAAGGATCAGAAGTGTAAAAATTGCTAAAGAATTAAAGCGATAGGAATTAGCAAGTTTTTAGAAAAATGATCAAAGTTGTCGAACCATTAAAGTTTTGCGACCAAACTTTAAATATTAAAAGGTTCCTAAATAGAAAAGGGATCAAAGTTATCAAACCGTAAGTTTTGTGGCCAAACTTTAAATATTAAAAGGTTCCTAAAAATTGTAAAAATATCGATTACAAGAACCAAAAGTGTCAAAATGGCTAAAAATAAGGACCAAAGTTGCCAGAGTACAGAGACTAGTTCTGCCAAAAAAACAACATAAAGTCTGGGGACTAAAATAGACAAAAATTATGAAAGTTAACTATTCATAAGAAACAATTTCCACAAAATATATATATAAAATAAATAACATGGTATATTCAAATGAATCTCTAATGATTAAGAGTAAATTATATGAATGGTTTCTAAGATTTTAGTTAATTTGCACGTTTGATCCCTAACTTTTCTTTTTCAATTCGGAATGTCTTTATTGTTTGTTTTTGTTGTGCGTTTGGTCACTGTCTTACCTTAAAAGACTATTTTGCCCTTAACTTTTTAATTTATTTAAATAAGGTGGGATATGTATGGTGAGGTGGAGGCCGGGTTGGCGTGTGTTTATTTAAATAAATAAATAAATCAATAGCAAAATAGTCTTTTTAGGTAAGACAAAGACCAAACATGCAACAAAAACAAACAGTAAGATCTTCCGAGTTAAAAAAATAAGTTATAGATCAAAAGTGCAAATTACACCAAACCATAGGGACCATTCGTGTAATTTACACAATGATTAATTTCTCAATTTTTTTTTTTTTTTGATAAAACTGCAAAAATGGTCCATGTGGTATGCATTTTTTTAGGGTTTTAGTTCAAACCATGACTTTTTTGGATTGGTGATCATTTTGAGCTAGTTTCGTTGCGTTTTTTATCCCTGTGAATAGTGAAATGACTGTAATGCCCTTGGGGTATTTATTTTCCATTTTTAAATTCATTTTTTCTAATTTAATAATTATTTATTCATTTTAATTATTAAAAAAATAAGAGGGCCCACCTCTCTCTCTCTCTCTCTCTCTCTCTCTCTGCGTGTGTGTGTGTGTGTGTGCAAACTTCACCCCTCCTCCTTCATTTACGACCAAGAATCCCTATCTCCTTCATAGCCAAATCACTTCAAAAATCTTAAACCACATTCATATCGGGTTGAAGATGGTGGCCTCGATTAAAATTCCTATATCACATTCAAAAAATCCCTAAATCACATTCATATAAAAAATCCCTAAATCACATTCATTGCTTCAGTAATCCCACCGTTAAAAATGGTGGCCTCGTTCAAAATTATGTAAGTAATCCCCATAGGTTTACAGTTATCCTCCAGTAGCTTATCCTCCAGTTGGCTGAATCGATTTGATTCAACATACAAAACCCGCTGAAGTAGACCCAATTTTCAGATCGATCACTTCCAACATTCACTTAATCTAAATCTCTATCGATGGAAGATGCTTGGGGGGTACCGAATGGGCCTTTTAGACAGTGGAGATGGCAGCAATAGAGGAGGATGAAGACCGCAATGAAGATGGCATCGGTAGAGGAGGGTCGATTTTGTTTGTGTTGGGGTAGTGGGAGCATATGGAACCTCCGTGAGCAACACCACTCATCATTGAACCACCACATAACACCACAGAACACCCACAAAGACTTCCTCTCCCTCCTTCCATGACGACATCCTTTGCAAAAACCCTAATGCAGCCTCCCTTATAGGGTTATCTCTGAGAACGTAATCCACCTGAGGCAGTGGGCAGATGTTAAGTGATCGGAGTAGACAGAGACGAGGAAAGAGTCGATGGTGGATTTCAGATTCATACACGCACATATCGATTTCGAAAACGAAAACATACACATACAAATTGATTTTTGAGCATTGTGTTTATTCTTAAGCACTTGTTCTTAGCACTGTGTATGTTTAGAATTAAAAACCAAAAAAAAATCTGGAGAGATTGAGAATAAGTGTGCATAAGTGTATTACCATGTTTCAAGAGAGAGAGAAAAAGAGAGAGAGAGGGAGAGAAGTGGGTCCTGTGTTATTTCTTTAATTGTTAAAATGAATAAATAAATAAATAATAAATTTAAAAAAATAAAAGAAAAGTGAAAAATAAATACCCCAAGGGTATTATAGTCATTTTAATTTTCGAAGGGACTATTTTCACATACAAACCACTCCAAAAGGACCATGAATCCAAAAAACTCGAGGTTTGGACTAAAACCCCAAAAATTTGCATACCACAAGGACCATTTTTGCAATTTTGTCTTTTGTATTTGATAGATTATTATCCCACTAACTTTGACAAAAGTTTTTATTAAATAAGTTCTTGATTGGTTATTTCTTTTTGATAAAATTGCAAAAATGGTCCCTGTGGTTTGTAAATTTCTGTGGGTAAGGTAAAAAAAAGTTTACTAGCAAAAAAGGTCCCTATTTGATGGTTTGTTGCGATTTTGGTCCCAACCTCGTTAAGTTTAACAACATAGCTATTAACTTTTGGCAAATGACAGATTTACCAACCTCAGGCTCGTTTAAATTCGATCTTTATTCAAGCTTTTAACGATTCGATCTCGAGTAGCTCATGAGTAGTTTGGCTCGTTTGCAACCCTAGATACCTCCATCGATGACGACAATGTTAGATCGAGGGTTTTCAAACCACCAAAGCCACTACATGTGATGAAAAGTTGTAGAACTCGTTATTCGGTACTCGTTCGACCGACCACCTAGTAGCAAATACTCAGATTTGGTAATTCATGTAGAAATATTTTTAGGTAAATTCTTTATGTCAAAATCATAAGTTAAAACATTATATGCTAAAAATAAAAACAATTAAAAAAACAATTTATTATAAATAAAAATAATAAATTTAAATTAATAATCCAATAACAAGAACTAATGCAATAAAACAAATAATTAAATAAAATTAATACTCTAATAAAGTAACACTTACTAATAAATATATATTATATGTTAAAAATTGTAATGCTCGTAGATCCGGGTTAGTCAATTTA